AATGGATACAGCTCCGGTTTTGGAGTCAGGAGGACCTAAGTTCAAATCCAGCCTCAGACACTTGACACTTACTGGCTGTGTGACCCTGGCAAGTCACTTAAACCTGATTGCCTGACCAAAAAGAAAAAAAAAAGCTTCTTACCTTGCATCACTTGCATGTCCTTCATGCCTGGAATTCTCTGCCCCTTCCTTCTGCTTCTTAGTTTCTCCAACTCCTTTCAAGAGTCATCTAAACCCTACCTCCTTGCAGGACACCTGGGGGAAGCTGGGAGAAATCCCAGCTACTGGTACCTTCCCTCTGAGTTCCCCTTCCATCTACTTTGTATATACCTTATATGTACTTAGTTATTTACAAGTTGTTTTCCCCATTTAAAAATTTAAGCTCCTTAAAGAGAGGTACTATGCTTTTTTGGTTTGTTTGGTCTTCTTTGAATCCCTAGGACTTAGCCCAGTGCCTGACAGATTAATAAATGCTAGCTGATTGACTGTCTGACTAGGTCTTTGGAATAAAGCAAGAAGAGATTTCTTAGAACACAATTCAATTCAGCATTTATTAAGCACTTACTACATTCAAGCACACTAAACAGTCTCTGTCCCTGGTGTGTGTGGAGGTACCTGTGGGGGTAGGGGTGGGACATGGTACATAGAGAAGTAAAAGAAAGATGATTTGAAGAAAGAGGTGGCAGTGATAGGTGGGTGGGAAGAGTCAAGGAAGGCTTTATATAGGAGGTGGCATCTGGGCTGAAACTTGAAGGAAGCTAATGATTCCAAGAGCCAGAAGAAAGGAGGCAATGCATTCTAGGCAAGGGGAACTGCCTGTAGGAATGCACAGAGAGGAAATATGCAATATTATTCAGAAAACAAAGAGAAGGCCATTTGGGCAGGAAAGAATGCCTAGCAGCAGTTTGTTGTAGTTCAGTCGTCTTAGTCATGTCTGACTCTTCCCGACCCCATTTGGAGTTTTCTTAGCAAAGATACTGGAGTGGTTTGCCATTTCCTTCTCCAGCTTATTTTATGGGTTAAGTGACTTGCCCAGGGTCACATAGTGTCTGAGGCCTGATATGAATTCAGATCTTCCTGACTGAAGGCATGGCACTTTATCTGCTATGTCACCTAGCTGCCCTTATCAGTTTAGAATGGTTGGATTCCTAGAACTTCTTGGGATAATTTTGATGTCAGTTATCAGGGATTTGGGTACAAAAAAATACGTTCAAGGTAATAAGGGCACTCTGGCCTTAAAATGTATTTCTAAGCCCCAAACATAGTGAGGCAGGAACTCCAAAGTCATTATAGAATCTTAGAGTTGAAAGAAACCTCCAAGTTGACCAGTGGAGAGAAGGCTAAGGAAGGCAATGGAGCACCATTAGCTGGAGAGTGGAAGAACTACGTATGGCCTCTCCCCCAGTGGCAGTGACTTGATAAACTTGGAGGAAACCAAACTGCTGGGGATATGACTTGCCCTGCATTTCCACATTCTGAGGTCTCCCCTTTATCCTGAACTGGAATAGGACTGCAGGAAGGAGGACACCATCCTGCTATAGGTCAAAGTGGAACAGAAGCTCAAGTCAGAGGGTGATGGAAAGAAACATTTACTAGGTGAACTATGGAGCTGAAGTGAATCTGCATCGCTGACCAAGCTGATACGGAAGGACAAGATCATGACTCTTTGCCCTTCCCCCTTCCCCTTCTTTTTCAGGAAGAAGTTGAATGTCTCCCTCTACTACATTCTCTCCCTGGTTCTGTTTGACCCCAATAGGGTGATTGAGAGGAAGTCCAAGTTTAGAAGCTAGATTATTCCCCCAAATGTTTCATTTTTGTCTTAAGTTTTATCCTGTGGTAAAGTTTGGTGGCCAACAAAAAATTTCAGGTTGTTTGATGTATCAATTAATGTATAGATAGCTATATAAAGAAGAGGAATTCTCCCTTTCATGCATAGATCAAAGACATTTTTGCCCAGTAAGGCTGGGCTGAGGCTGGAGTTTTACAAAGGCAAAGAGAAGGAGTCAGTGTTATCTTTCTATAAGCCTTGTAAAAAAAAGTAACAAATATAGAAAGATAGAATACTGGACCTATTTTTTTTCTTTCCATTTGTCAGAGAGCCAGAAGCAGCATAATGTGGGAAAGAGAAAAGCCATTGCTTCTGTGGTTTAAGAGGTTCAGAGTTGCTGGCTTTTTCATTTGCTTCAAAAGCATAACCTTGAGGGGAGAGGGGAAGGGGAGGATTCTGTGAAGATACAATACCCCAGCTGGTGTCGCTATCCTGGTGATGCTACCATAACAACCTGGCAATGCTACCAGTGTCCAAACTTACTCCCCTTGTCTTGCTTAGATCACCAAAGGGGTTAAACTAAAGAGGGAAGAATAACAAAGGACAGCAGTGCTGAGAACTGGGCTACAGGAAGAAAAGGTACAACGGTCCCAAGAGCTGAGGATATGAGACAGAAGCACAGAACCTCTGGCGTCACCTGATGGGAGATGATGGGAACTATCAGAAGCAGAGCATGATAATAAGCAGCAAACACTACCTCCCAGTTTGCTGAAGCCCCATCCAGGGTGGTACTATAAGTAATGGAGACCATACAGATCTATGAAGGGATGATTGCCAGCTATGGGGATGGGGCTCTCTGCTCACTCTCTGTGGACTCAGATAAGAGTCCTTTCTCTTTCCATATAAATAAAATAGTTTTGTAATTTGAACCTTGTGAGACTAAGGTGAGCTGGTGGCTATCTTTGGAGTTGGTGTACTGACATTGACTTTCCCAGCTTCTATCTGGGTGAGGGCAATAAGTTACAGAACTGAAAGTCCCTCAAAGCATACTTAGGCCTTTTTAGTCAAAAGGGAGCCCTTGACAATGATTATGCACAGATGAGGAAGCTAAGGTTATACAAGTAGCGAGAAGCAGTAAAACCGGCATTTGAACTCTGGCCCTCTTGACTTCAAACTGAGGGCTCTTTTCACTGTGCCACAAGCATTTTCATAAAGCAAGCTTCTTTCTCAGTTTAATCCTACACTTAGTGAGGTTGAACTATGAAGGATATAAGGTCCCACACTTTACTGAATTTACTAAGCATTCTTTTTTGTCCCTAAGGAGAGCCTCTTCCTATGGTGGGAGGGAATTTGTAGAATCTCATGTTTGTCAGACCTGGGTTAGACCCAGACCCAGAACAGACCTCCGAGATGGAAAGAGAGATGGGTGAAAAGAAGGGAAGGGGGCTTGGGGAAAGGGTTGGGTGGGGTCATGAAGAATAGGAATGATGTCAGGGAAAACTGAAAGTGCAGGCAGGACTGGCCTTAGATACAGGTAGAGCAGATGGCCATAAACTTTAGATAGGAAAAGAACCTTAGAGATAAAAGAATACAGACCCTTCATTTTAAAGGTGAAGAACACAGCAAAGAGCTAACATGAATCGTCCAGGGCCACACAGTTAGTAAATAGCAAAGCTGGGATTTAAACTCAAGGCTACTGACCCCAGATGCTGTTCATTTTTACAGTATGTCATTCTGGCCCTTCTAGGAAACTATTCTACGCACTCTTCCCTCCACCCCCATTGATGCCATGTTATCAGTTATTGAGATGGCAAATAGCACTCTTAAAACTTTTCCCAGATAGATTTCAGGGAAGTGGCAGCAGTGACCTGAAACCCTGGAAACTCTTCCTAGCTGGATGGCAGGTTACGAATCTGTGGGACTGCCTGTGGGGCAGAGGGAGAATTGACTTCTTCCATTCCTCCAAATCTGTGTTTGAATAGGCCACTTCTCAGAGGAGCCTCTGCACTGGAAACTAACAGAAAGAGACATCACACAGTACTCAGTGCAGTGATTCATTAGAATCATTAGAACATTAGAATTGGACAATCATCTAGTTCACCCATCTACCCTCTTCCCTCATTTTACAAATGAGGAAACCGAGATTCAGTTATTCCCATTCTTTTTCCATTTCAGCCAAGGTGATAGCAACATTTTTCTTCCTTCTCAAATTCCATCAAAATCTCAAAAGACACAGCTACAGATTTTTTTAGTTTTGTTTTTAAAATATGATCTCCTGGGGAAGGGGGGTGGTGGGAGGAGGGGGCAAGGGAGGAAAGGAGGAGAAAAAAAAGAAAATTAAGTTGATAACTATGGTCCTAGCGTGGGGCCTCTCTGGCATATTTGAAAGCATAGTGATTTCTCTTGCCTGGGTGTCAGTCTAGCCCATTAATCATCATATACAGTTTTTCTAAAAGCTATTTTGAGAAACATTTAGAAAATGGCTTTTATATAGCTATATATATTGTATTTATATCCCCTAGAAATGGTCTCTGTTTTAGAAGCAGATGGCTTTTCTTCCCTCCTTTTTTCGCTTCCTTTTTTGTTCCTTCCTTTCTCTTTCTTCCTTCCTTCCTTCCTTTCCTCCCCTTTTTTTCTTCCTTTTGATTTTCATCTCTTTCATCTACATTGGGTATCAAATAAGCTCACTTTCCTAACTCCTGATATAGTATAATTGCCCACCGTCTAGCTTGGTGGGGGTAGGAAGGGGGAGGTGAAGGTTTGGTGGCATGGCCATGGGTCCTTTGTAAGGCACACTTCCAAGGAAATTGAAGGTGAACAATCAAAATGAGCAGGGTCACTGGCCCCAAAGCAATAGTTCAGATACTGCCTCTTTCATCCTGGGTCAGAGATGGGCTAGTGCAAGGGGTCTAGCCTATGCCCTGCTGCTACACAAGGATCTGGAGGGTCTTGAGATACCATCTAGTCCCACCTCCTTTTCTTATAAATTTTTTTTTTTAGTTTTTTAGGCAATTGGGGTTAAGTGACTTGCCCAGGGTCATACAGCTGGTAAGTGTCAAGTGTTTGGTCTGAGGTCGCATTTGAACTCAGGTCCTCCTGACTTCAGGGCTGATGGTCTATCCACTGCGCCACCTAGCTGCCCCACCTTTTATAATAAATGAAGAGTCCCAATGACTTTTTTTTATCAGGGCAGCCTGGAAAAGTTTGGGCAGGGAATATGAGTGCTCTAGTCTTGGTATTTTCATAAGAAATCTTTATTGAGTCGAAGTAATTTAAACACAGCTAAATAAGATCAAGGCTCAGGAAATGCTTACAGAGACAGTTTAGTTACCAGAAAATGTGCCTTGATATAGTCCCTGAGGAGGACTCAGGTTGCTATCCAATAAGCAGCAAATCTGTCCTATAAAAAATGCCAGGGCTATTACAATGCTGAGAATGTCCTGGGCTAGGGAAGAAGAGGGGAGATGGAGAAAAGCACATAGTGACTTTTGTCAAGCCTATCCCTTCCCTCTCCATCCCCACCCCATTCTTCACCATAGGAAACCAGGCTTTAAATGGACATCTGGGCTTGAGGGATGAGGGGGGGAAATGGACCCCTAGTGTCTAACAGTGGCTTCCACGAGATCAGGCTGTCCCAAAGACGAGGAGTGAGTCATCGAAATGAATCAAGCTCTGGCCATATGTTGGCTGGTGGCTTCAACAAAGAACTCGTACTCTGGATCTAACATGGGACCTGTCATGAACTCAAAGCACAGTTTGGGTAGTCTACTGCTGGCCACAGCAGGACTTCTTCTTGGGCTGATGGTGGACCTGGATGATATTCTCTCTCACAGTGTCTTCTCGTTCCTTGAGGATCCTGGGAAAGGAAGAAGATGAGTCATTAGTCAGGGAGGAACAACCTTCAGATGAGTCATAGTAAAGGATAGAGGTAGGCAGTGCAAGTACTATTTATCTCCATCTGAGAGACCAGGAAACTGAGGTTCACAGAGAGGAGATGACTCGCCCATAGCCACAGAGCTAGAAAGTAGCAGTTACTATTTGATCTGTGATTACAATGTCAGCCAGTGGGTTGAGCCACAAGGTAACATGCATGTGAGTGCCAGAGACTTTCAAGTAACAGTAGTGGTATCTTATAGTCATATAAAGCTCTATTCTTTTCAGTGTGAGCTCCTTCAAAGCATGGACTGTCTCACCTTTCTAGTCATATCTCCTGCAGTTAGCACAGTGCTTTGAATAATTAATATAATAATAAATATCATATAATATTATTAATATAATAAAAATAAATTTGAATAATTAATATTAATATTAATAAATGCTTTGTTCATTCATTAAATGGTTCATTTCATTCTTTTTTAATTTTTTTTTCATTTTATCTATGTTTTTACATCCTTTAAATTTCTCCTGTATCCCTCTCCCTCCCAGAGAGCTATCTTTTATAACAAAGAATTATTTTTAAGAGGAAAAAAAGAGGAAAAAATTAATTTTAATTTATTTAATTTTTAATTTATGGGATAAAACATACATTTCTATAACACAGTATAAGAATAAAAATATTGCACATAAAAGCAAAATAATAATAAGAAAAATAATGAGAAAAAATTTGTAAAGCCAATTAATATCTCTTTAAAAAAATTAACGATACATGCAATGTACTACATTTGTGGACTCTAGCCTGTGCAAAGGAGGGGGAGGAGATGTCTTCTCAGCTCATTGCTTTCTTATGACAATACTGAGACTTTGGCAAGGGAGATGTCACTGTCGTCTCCATTTTACAGATGTGGAAACTGAGGCTCAGAGAGGTTAAGGGGTATGGCCAAACTTTTATAATGAGTCATTCTGAGACTAGCTAAGACTATATCTCCTGGCTCCTAGTTGATTATTCTTCCCACTGATACTAACTCTCCACTGGATACAGTAAGACCTTAGGAATGAGGCCAAGCCACCAAAATGTGCTGTGTGGTAGTGGGATCAGTATGGGTGGCTAAAGAGAACTGTCTTCAGGACTTGCTTTTGGGCTAGTGTTGGGCAACACTTTCAATAGGCCAAGTTGGCTCCTATATCTATCACAGCCTCTTCTGCTTTACTCCAGGGGATTATTCTTGCATTCTCATCTGGCTTCCTTTTAAATCTCAGCTTGGTCACTTATTATCTGTGTGACCTTGGGCAAGTAACTTCATCTCTTTGGGTCTCAGTTTCCTTAACTATAAAATGGGGATAATAACATCTGAATCACCTAACCCACTCTGCAGTTATAAGGCTCCAGTGAATTAATGTGTGGGAAGCACATTACAGCCTAACACATTACGTAAATCACTACTTCTATTATTCCAATGCTTTGAATAACTTATCATGGAATAGTGTGTGTGGTAGTTAGCCATGTTGGTGTCTTATCTCCAACTAGGCATGAGAGCACAGACCACGTTTGATCTAAATTTCCTTTCTCTCCTATTGCTTAGCATGTGTACTTCTACACATACTAGATGGTACAGTGGATAAAGTACTGGGCCTACAGTCAGGAAAACTCATCTTCCTGAGTTCAAATCTGGCTGTGTGATTCTAGGCAAATCACTTAACCCTGTTTGCCTCAGTTTCCTTATCAGTAAAATGAGCTGGAGAAAGAAATGGCAAACCACTCCAGTATCTTTGCCAAGAAAATCCCAAATGGGGTGATGAAGAGTCAGACATGATTGAAATGCCCAAACAACAACAACTTGATATATCTTGAATTCTTATATTGTATTGTGTTTTGTTATGTTGTATTGTGTTGTAGTGTATTAAGGCCAGTCTTATTTATCTTTGGCTGTCAGATAACCAAGGAACATAAGACCATAGCATTCAGTGTTTGAAGAGATATTAAGTCATATAACCCAACCCTCTCATTATACAGATGGAGAAACTGAGACCTGGAGAAGCAACAGAATTACTTCCATTGACTTCAAATCTAGCGTTCTACCCATGTTATTTCTCCCTCCAACTCTCATATTTTATAGATGAGAAAACTGATGCCAAGAGAGTAGTGGGAATATTACCCACAGTCACACAGTTAATCACTGTGAGATTAATAGGGCATGATCCCAGGTCTCCTGACCTGTATGTTAGTACTTTTTCCATGACACCAGGGTGACATCTTCCAATACTACATCTCTCATCATTTCCACACTTAAACCCTCTATCCATTTGGACTGAACCTGCACCCCCTGTAATTGACCACACTTTGTGATGATTAGCCCCATGCTTTGGGGCTCCACTTTGCTGTCAAAAGTTAGAATGATATCTAATCTAGAAGCAAAGCCGTTAGCCTGAAGGTGGCCCTATCTCTTCTTGAGTTTACCTTCTTGCAAGGTGACTATGCTAGAATTATGCTATTCTCAGAGTATGGTGGAAACTGCCTTGTCTTGGGATGGGGATGAAGAGACTAAAATAATGACCAGCGAAACAGCCCCAGTGCTTACTCTCTCTGACATTTGTTTTCTTTAGGAAACCTGTGATTTTCTTCTTTTTTTTTCCTATACCATTTCACTAGGGCAGATTTCAGACATATTAAACAAGCATTTCACTTCAAAGGACAATGCCTTTATTAACAGCAGCTCTGTTCAAAGACAGTAAGAAGACACATCAGGTTAACTTCTCCATAGAATTGCTTCTGGACCCACATGCTCAAAAACAAAGGAAAAAAAATGATAGAAAAAAAGAAAAACCATCCTTGAGGTTTCTTTAAACCTTGATCCCAAATTCTGCAAATTCAAATTCAATCCAATTCACCAAACATTTTTAAATTGTCTATTACATGCAACATACATAGTAGGCCCTGTCCCATTGGTTGCTACACTCCTCCAATCTCTTGAAGGGAGAGATTTTTAGGATCTCTAAGCCCTCTTATTCTAAGTCTAGTCAGTATTTTTCCTCTGCTCTATTCCTCTGAAGAGACGGATGGGACCTTCTCCATCTAAAGACAACAGAGCTTAGTCCTGCCTTGTCCTTTGGGGAAGGCTTACACAATGGCTACCATCAATCTGAATCACAAGAAGATTTACTTTCCTCATTCTTTTGCTCCTTTAAACATTCTTTTTTCTCATTTACACTATGCATGGTAGAGTGTTATTTTTTTTTCTTTACCTGGCGAGGTGAAGCATTGATGCTTTGACGTTCATTACACTATGCATGGTAGAGTGTTCATTACACTATGCATGGTAGAGTGTTATTTTTTTTTCTTTACCTATGCATGGTAGAATGTTATTTTTTTTCTTTACCTGGCAAGGTGAAGCATTGATTCTTTGACGTTATAGTCTGAATACGCGCTGCATTCGTAGAAAATCAAATCATTCTCCTAGACCCATGAAACAGAAGGAAAAGGAGGAGTGCTTAGGATGCAGTTTCTTAGAGAAGACATCAGGGATGAAAGCATCCCGCCATCCTTCATCCAGAATCCTGTACAGTCTTTATTAAGGCTCACTAGCTCCTCCCCACAACTCCCTAACTCAGCCTCTCTCTATTTATAGTTTATATCCTTCACGTTCCCTGGTCCAGTGTGGGACAGTATCAAGCAGGATACTGGCAATTTACCATTATGATCATCATGATAATGCTACCTCTGCCCTGTGGGAAGGGCTGTACAACTGCCCACATCAGACTGGGTCACGACTAGGTTTGGTTGTTCCACATTCTTTATCTACTTTATGAAAAGGATTCATTATGCTATGGATTGTAGGGCAATTTTAAAAGAAGGGTTTTTTTTGTTAGTAAATAAACTTTTATTTTGTTAAAATTTTATTTATTTTATTCTGAACTTAAGAAGTAAAAAAAAATCATTTTTATAACATAGTAGAATAGAAAAAAAGATTATTGTATGTGAAATTGCAAATCTATTATGTACAACTTGCTATTCCTTTTAAATATATAATATATTTATCATGTAACTAATTATTTTCCCCTTTTTCTTCCCTCACACCCCACTCCAGACGTTATAATGGCTACCATTACAATGACACAAATATGTATGTATGTATGTATATGTATATATGTATACATATATATGTAAAATCATTCTATACATACTTCTATTTATTAGTCCTTTCTCTGGATACAGATAATGTCTTCCTTCATATGTCCTTTATAGTTAATTTGGGAATTAATAATAGGCAAAATGACTTATTTTCTCAAAGTTGTTCTTAAAACAGTATTGCTATTACTGTATACAACATTCTCTTGGTTCTGCTCATTTTGCTCTTCATTATTTCATGCAAGCTTCTAAGATCATTGAGCTCATCATTTTTTATAGCATTATAGCATAATAGCATTCCATCACAATCATATACTGCAACTTGTTTAGCCATTACCCAACAGGCAATTTTTAAATTGTGGGACAATTTTAAAAGCATCAGTATGGTCTGAATTAACATCCTAGCTCGGTCACTTTCTAGCTATGTAACCTTGGGCAAAAAAATTTCACCTCTCTGAGCCTTGGTTTACCCATCTACAAAACAGAAACATTAATTCATACACTATTGATACCACAGGATAAATAAGGACCAAATGAAATAATGTATAAAAAAAGCATTTTATAAGCACCAAAAGTTAACATCACTACCACTAGTAATGCTTTCTTGAATGTAAAATTAAAAGGTTGGATTAGGTAACATATTCATAGAACTGAAAGGAAACTTAGATAATGTCTTGTCTAACCTCATTTTACGTATGACTTTCTCAAGATCATATAGCGTGTTAATAGCAGATTTAGAATTCAATCTCAGGTTGCCTGATTCCTAGGCCAGTGCTATCACTCTGCTGAGCTGGTTTCTTTCTGCCCTCATAGTCTATGATTCTGTAATAATAATGCCTGACATTGGTTTTAGGGCATTTTTTTGGAGGAGGGAGCCTGGGAGAATATATACCTTATCCTTTTCAAATCCCTTTCACATCCGTTATGTTGTTTATTTTTCTAACAGTTAGCAAGCTAGCTAACTACTTTCATTTTTTGGTTCAGTGACTCATTATTTGCCTAGTCCTTCTTTCAAGCAGGCTATATGCTAGGATGATAGTTAATGACACAAATAGTAATTTCACAGATACAGAGAACTCACCTGTCTCTTCCAATGCAGTTAATCGGTCAATAAGCATTTTTAAACACCTGCTACCTTATAAGCATACCTGCTACTATGCTAAGCACTAAGAATACTAAGAAAGGCAAAAAGAAATAATCTTTTAAAGAGCTCACAAGGGGCAACTAGGTGGCGCAGCGAATAGAGCACTAGCCCTGAAGTCAGGACAACCTGAGTTCAAATCCAGCCTCAGACCAAACACTTGACACTTACTAGCTGTGTGACCCTGGGCAAGTCACTTAACCCCAACTGCCTTAAAAAAAAAAAAAGAGCTCACAGTCTAATGGGAGAGACAGCCATACACAAATTAGATAGATGTGGGATAAACTGGGAATAGTCTCAGAAAGAAGACTAAACTGAGGATGGGAAAAGGCTTCTTGTAGAAGGTGGGACTTTAGCTGAGACTTGAGGGAAGCCAGGAGCTAGAACAGAAGAGGGAGGGAGTTCTAAGCATGGGGGACAGTTAGTGAAAATGATTAGAGTTGGGAGATGAAACAGTGTGTCACAAGCTGGTAGGCCAGAGTTATTAGATTGAAGAGTACATGACAAGGAGAAAGGAGTAAGAAGAAGGAAGGGTAGGAAGGGCTTTAAGAGCTAAACAAAGGATTTTTTATTTGATTTATTGAATGGGGGCTCGTATGGTCAGACCTGTATTTTGATAGCTGGGGGGGAGGGTGAATTGGAATAAGGACAGATTTCAGGCAAGGAGACTAACCAGCTGGTTAGTACCACTGCCCAGGCATGATGTGATGACAGTATGAATGGCCTCTAGGTTGGCTTCAGGGAGATCAATTTTGGGGTCACTGCGTCTCTCAAAGATGATATACCAAGGTCTTCGTCAATTGATGGATTATTGATATTAACAGACCCTTAATGTTGGTAAAGATGGTATTGTGACACATAACAGAAGAGTGACCATTGATACCACTCCTGATGATCATGCACAGAATGCCACTGGTACAATTCCCGTGTGGAAGAATGGAGAGCCTGCTTCAGGAGAATTGTAATCATGTGTAATGGAGAGATTTAGGGCATGCTCAGATGTATTGTGACTGGTTTGTGAAGAGGAGCCCTTTGATGGGCCCTACCAACATTACTAGAATTGGGGGGCAGAGGGAGCCTCCTCATGTGAGGTATTCCTGCGGCCTGTGGAGATATCCCTTGGTTCTTGGTCTCAGTATTTGTTTTTTATCTGTTTTAGATGGAAATTGTAGGCTATGACCTTGTGAGTTTCTACAGACAAGAAGGTTGAGTCACCCAAAGTCTAGGAGCCCTGGAGAGAAGCCCAGGCTGGGTTTTTAGCCAGTCTAACATTGATACTCCCAAAATATGGCCTTTGGGACCTAGCTGAGACAAGGGCTCACCCTGCAGTGATGTTGCACTTGGATGTGAAACCGTAGAAACCAGGTTAAGTCTGAGATCTCCATGTAAGATAGAGACTAAGTTGTTTTAGTGGACAGTATGCCCTCCAGGTGTTGGGGGAAATGTTTTCACTCCCATTCTTGGTATATCTTTGAAGTAAATACTGCTTTGTAAAAGCTAATCAATACTAATTGGTTGAAAGGAACAGGGAGTGAGTCACTGGAGATTAGGTAGCCTGTACTGGGATAGGGTCACAAGCATTAGAGAAAGACCCCACAACCCCTTAGGGTTAACTCTAGACCCCTGAGGGGTTATGTAGCTGTATACTCAGGGATGTATACTCAGCGATACTTCCCCTTGTGTCAGGATACAGACAAAACCATTCTAAGCTTTCTCCCTATTCCAGTGGGGACAGCAACCTAGTCCCAGGGTACATTTCCTCCCCCACCCCTTGATATGCTCCTTTTCTTTCTACCCCCAGTAGTGGCCAGTCTTTAACAGCATAAAAACTTCAGGGTCTCATGGAATGTGTCTTTCTCGAGAACTGTGGTAACTCTATAGATGAGTCTGTCTGTTTCTCTCAACTACACTAATACAGAGAGAGAGAGGGATAGAAAGAGGGAAAGAAAGAAAGAGAGAGAGAGAAAGAGAGAGAAAACCTGCTACAACTCCACACACATACCTAGGCAATAGCCTGGCAGAGCATTTTCCAAAAAAACTTTTGAGCTCCCTCCACTGACACCTCAAAAAGCTAGACCTACCCTTCTTTTTGCCTCACTCCAGCTCTCCTTCCCTATCATATGTACCTTCCTTTAACCAAATGTTCAGCCACTCCCACCAAAGCTCTGATCAACTCCCTGTAGACACAAGAGTGTCCAGAAATCCACAGACAGGGAATAAAAACAGCCAAGGAATCACTTCCCCCTTGGGGTCACTGGATAGTTTTCATTAGGCCTGGTCTTATTTCACTGCTCTCTTAGGCTTGCAGGCTTATGCTTGTTTTCAAAGCACATTTGGTTTAGTGGTCCTTCCTGGGAATTGTCCCTCCATCTCATCCCCCTCATCTTGACTTTCGAGCTACTGAAGGTTTGAGAGATTTCCTTCAATTCCATGTAGCCTCTAATCAAGTTCTATTGATCACTTGTGACTTTCCCCAGGAGGAATCCTTTTCACAACTGACCGTAGTACAGGCAGAGGTATCTACTCCTTACCTTAGCAAGACGTTCTCCATGTCCCTGGGGGACTTCTCTCTCTTTTTCATTGTCAACCTTATTGCCCAGAAGGAGGATGGGAATGTTCTCTCCCGCAGCTTCCTGTAGAACAGACAAGCCCCAGCTAGATCGAACCCAAGAGTAATAGAAAGCAGAGCCCAGAAGTTCTGACAAAGGCTGGTTTCCAAGTGAGAAATGGGGCTTAGAATCCTCAGCAGTTTAGAATCTTCTGCTACAGGAGGTAAAGTCATCAAAAAGGAAAGAGATGGGAATGCAGGCTCCTCTGCAGGGCTTGATGGTGCCAAGTACTTCCAAGATTCATTGACCTTAGAGTTAAATGTCCTAGCTGTCTTCCTTACTTGACCTTGGAGAAGTTACTTCCCTTCCCCAGACCTTAGTCTCTTCATTGGTAAAATAAGGTGGGGTTAGTCTCCATGATTTCCATGGGTCTCTCCTAGCTCTAATTCTTATGATAATTATCAGGTCTGTCAGTGGAAAAAAAACATATATACAGATATATATATATATAATATATATAATGTGTGTGTGTATGCATGTATGCATATATATGTGTATGTGTACATATGTGTATTGTATATATGTGTACATATACATGTATGTAACTGGGTCAGTGCCATGTATACTCACAGAGGGGTGTAGGTAGGTGTGCCTTGGCTCAACGTAACCTAGGGGCAGGGGGAAGGTAGGCAATGTAACCTAGGTTACATACTTTCAGACGACACATGGTCCAACTGGGGCCCTGTAAAACTGTAGATGCCCCTTAACCCACACCTTCAAGGACAGCCCAAGGCATTCCCAGAGATATCAGAGCTGCCAGGGCTATAGGCAGTAAACAGTAAGGGTCCAGGAAGTCCATCCAGGTTTGCAGATGCCCTCTCAGGAACTTTTCCAGAGGGCTGTCCTGATGGACGATTATTCCCCAGGACATGAATATGAGTACCTTAGCAGAAGCTATCACTCTGGGCTCTGCAGCTATTTCCTTTCTGGATTGCCTGTGTCTAAAAGGAACTCCATCTAGAAAAAGACATTCCTGATTTATAAGTGTACCATGCTTGGAGTCAGTAGACTTGGGCTCAAGTGAGACCATGTGTAGGTAAGTCTGTACAATGACAGTGTTAGCCTAGATGCCCTCCCTAGCTCTCTTCAATTCTAAATGTCAAGATTCTATAAGTTGCTAAAGCTCTCTGAACCCCTCTGAGGATTACTATGAAAAATCAATTAACAAGCTTTAAAGAGCCCATGTGTCAGGAACTATGCTAAGGAAGAGCTTTGTAAACCTTAAAGAGGTTAAATGTAACTTGTTTTTTAAAAAATCATTATCACAATATTATATTGCTATTCATGTAATATTATATAATATAATTATCATTATTCTATTTAAGGAATTAATATAGGGTAATTATGCAATTCACTTGCATGATGGCCACCTTCCAATAAAGCTCCTATAGCTCGACTTTAGAACAGAATATCTGTGTATTCACTTCCTCAAACCCACAAGACTCACCTCTCCCCCAAGTTTGAAAAGTGGGCCTAGCAAGCTGAAATACAATGTGAGTAAAAATGATAATGTCCATATTTAATAACCCTGGGCAAGCTCTTATTTTTACTTTGTGAAAAAATTTAATTAGCACTTTAATACTTATTTGACAACTCATGCTAATTTCTAGAGACTGAATTTAAAATTAAAGAGAAAAAACTATATAGAGGTGCTGTGGAGTCACAGAAGCTACAAAACCTAATAGTTTCATGAATTCTTTTAATAATCCTCATAATTCCAAATAAATGGCTAAATCTCATCTAATAGTCATAATAATTTTAAGTTTAATTCACAATTATACCTGAAGATTCTCAATGAACCCTTAATGGTTATATGCAATAATATAGTCAATTTTGTTGAGTTTCAATAGTTTAAAATAATACATAACTTATTTACAGAATGGGGAGGTAGGGCTCAGAGAGACTGAGAGACAGTTCCAAAAGGGTTTACAATAAAATACTGCATAGCACTATCTTCTACTAAGTACATGGTATCCCAAAAGTCTTAGCGTAGCTTTAATAACCAAATCTTAAAACTGCAGTAAGATATTTGGAATACTTTCTATTTTCCCCTGAGTTCTCATTCTATAAGCATAGTTACCTCTTCTTGCTATCTGGCACTCTATTAATCACAATGTTTCCATCTCAGGTAGTACAATAATATGTTACAGCATTTATGAAAGTTCAGAGCTGGAAGGCATTTCAGTGATCAACAAAATTACAGAATTTAGGGTTGGAATCTCAGTAACCATGCAGTCCAAGCTATGTCCAAAAGGAATATTAACTACAACATTCTCAACAAGTAATTATCCAACCTAGAGGCAATGTGGTGCAGTGCAGAGGGCTTGGAGTCAAAAAGAACTGGGTCTAAATCCTTCTTCAGATACGTAATAGCTGTGTGACCCTTGGCAAGTCACTTAATTTCTGTGTACCTCAGTTTCCTCATCTGTAAAGCATGGGTGGTTGGACAAAATGGCTTCTGAGGTGCCTTCCAGTTTTAGATCTATGCCTGTCTCCTTAAAGCTCTCCTATGGGTTTTGTCAATCTCAAATATAAAGGTTTAAATATACACTAAAAATTAGAAGGAACCTTAGTGACCATCTACCAGGGGTGGGGAACCTTTAGCTTCATGTGGCCTGGAGGCTGCAGGTTCCCCACCCCTGATTAGTGCAACTCAGATCTTGAAAGAATTTCATTAGTAGGACATAACCAACGAGTAGGGAACCCACCACTTCCCAAATCATCCTATTTCATTTTTTGGACAACTCTAATTATTATAAAGTTTATTGTGATATTGAGCCTAAATTTGCCTCTTTGTAGCTTCTACTTGTTGTCCTCTGAGAGCAAACAGAACAAGGACAAGTCTGACCCTTCTTTCCAATGATAGCTCTTCAAATACTTAAAGACAGCTATCATTTCCTCCAATACCACCTCCAAGGATTCTTTCCCCTAAGCTAAACATCCCCACTTCCTTCCAAGGCCCTTCACCTTCCTGGTTGCCCTCCATCTTATCTTGTCCTTCTTAAATGTGGCAACCAGAAGTGACCATAATATTCTGGAATTGACCTAACCATGGCAGAATACAGAGGAACTATCACCTTCTTATACCTGTCACTGATGTCTTTCCTAATGCATCCCAATATCACATTAACTTTGGGAGCTACTACATCACACCACAAAATTTAGCCTGCTTGCCATACTGACTGAAACTATTAGCCTTAGTTTTTTGAATTACCTATTTATACCTAAACATTTGGTTAAAAACTTTGTATAGCCTCTAGTTACCTTTTAGTAATGACAGTTTACACCCAACTTTCTTTCTTTTATTCTCAACAATTCCACAGCCACACTCACTTTTTCTCCTCCTCCTCCTCCCAACCTCCTATTTCATCAACTTGCCTCATTCACCAAATGACTCTCCCAAATGACCCAACAATTCATTTCACTTCACCTCATCTTACTTAGCTTGCTTTGCCAACTACCTTCTCTTTGAGTTTTCCTCTTCAGGTCCCTACTTCTTGATCTCATCCTTCTTCACCTTTCTCTCACTGAAGCCAGAAGTAGAATCTGAACCTGGAAATTGTTCTTTAAATTTTCATTTCTTTCTCCCAAGTTTGCCCAAACCTCTCCCTCTGAAATTCAATCTTTGTTCCCACCCCCCCAACAGGACCATATACTCTGAGTTCTACCCTCCTACCCCCATTGAAATCATCAATACAGTTGCCTTTTCTTTCTTAACTCTTTCTTTTTTTTCAAGTCCTCATACTTCTCCCACAATGCACTCCTCATGGAAGCCAGAAGTAAAAGACCAAGTTTTACTCTTTTATTTAACAGATGAGGAAACTGAGGCTCAGCAGGATTAAATTATTTGCCCACGGGCACATAGGAAGTGGCAAAGTTAGGATTTGAACACAGGTCTTCTGAGTATAAGCCCTGTTCTCCTTCCACTACACAACATTGACTCCTTATACTTTAAACAATTTGCTCTTCAATCTTGTATTTCTTACTTCTCTTCTCAATATCTCTGTCCTCTCATCTCTTGAGAGCTCATATTTCTATGGCAGTTCAATGTTTGGAAAACATTTTCTTCATAACAACCCCATGAGGGAGGTAGTAAAGTATTATTAGGTTAATTTTGCAGATGAAGAAATTAAGGCTCTGTCAGGTAAAGTTACTTGCCTGTGGTTCTGGAACAATTAAGTATCAGAGGAAGGATATGTTGGATTTGGAGAGCATAGGATTAATTACAGATTCTGCCACTGTGTGACTCTGGACAAGTTATGTCACTTCTCTGGGCCTCAGGTTCCTCATGGTATTGGATTAAATGATCTTTGAGATCTCTTCCAGCTTCCATACCACTGACACCTTAGATCAGAGCCATAGTCCTACTAACCCAAGATTCTATCTCTGATCAAGGCCCTAGTAGATGGTCTGTGGGCCAATAGTTTTGTTCCATTACACCAACCTCAAAACTAAGGCATTCCCTCTTCCCTACCCACATACATACTTATCTACCTTCTCCACCCCACCTCCCATTTCTCTTTTCCCTAAGGAAACTCTTACAGGTCCATCATTTTATTCAATTTATACATACCCTCCTTACACATATGCCTCCTTGAACATTTTAACTCATCCCAAGTCTTGGAGTAGTGAGTTCTCTAAGTTTGCTCTCTGTAGGGTGAATAAAGCCCATAGAATGTTCTTTTAAGTACCATGTGGTGATCCCAGTTCTAGTCTTCTGTGATCTGTGATTCAATGAACAAGTCTCTGTTTGCTCTTCCCACACTCTTTATAATATTATAGATTTCAAACAAATCCCTTGTCAGCCTTTGACTTTGCAACCTGATGAGTCATGAAATCAGAGAATTTTGGTAGTTGGAAGAGACACGTGGGGTCATCTAATCCAACACTTATTCCTCTTTGATTTTCCTGAAAAGCAGTCAGGCACCCTCTGTTCAAATGCCACCAGGGACAGGAAGCATACTTCCTTAGGGGGCAGCCGCCTTTATTTTAAGACCAATATATCTTAAAGAAATGTTAGGAAA